CGGTACGGTCCTTAATCGGCTCAGACGGAATCACATGAGTCATCCTACGCATAGACTCCGCCCGGCCTCGATTTACTTTTTAACCCATGGTTCTGTTCCACGATAGCAAATATAGTCAACCGTGCTCCGGTATCCACCTATATCTCGCAGGTGACAGGAAATCACCTGACTTCTACCGGTCTAAGCATGGCTAAGCATATGTTCAATCCTGGACCTATACCGGTTAAAGGTGTAATATCTGGACAAGGAATTTATATGCATCAAGTGGTTCCATTCAACTCTTATAACCTAATGCATCAATCATAAGTACTTAAGTAATCATTTGTTAAATACTGGGAGACTTAGAATGCTCCGGGCTTGCCTCGCAGAAAGGAAGTAGGGCGGTGATCAGGGCACTCCGGAAGCTCTTCAGGATTCTGCTCATCGCCTTCGGGAGCTGTGACTTGAGGATTCTCCTACCGGTCCCCTTCCTCTACTTCGCCGAATTCCAGCAACGTTATTTCTTCCTCCGATCCTAGATGCATGAATATGGCATAAGATATTGCCAATGCATACATGCGTACAAGTATAAAATGATGACACATGATGAATGCATTCGTATAAGTATTCTTAACATCATGGTGTTAACAAATGCATCATATTTTATCGAGTAGGTGCATATCTCTCTTAATTACTTAATCAAACACATTTACAATTCATTCACTACACACAAAACAGCAGCTGCTTAGTTTACTCATAACTGAAGTTCTACTTATCCAAATGCTGTGATATTAGACTTTCTGGAAATCTTATAAAATTGTATACAACTCTTATTTAATCACCAAAAGCTAATTCACACTTTATCTTAACCAAAATAGACAATCAATCCAGCGCTGTCTAGAAATTCCTGAGAACAAGCAAACTCGGAAAGGCTAACTTTAAACAGTTGTAACTCCTAAACCGTTTGACCTATGGTCCTAAAATTTTAACACAAGACATATAATGAAGTTATCTACAACTTTGTTATTAACTATTTTTACAGCAAACATCATTTTTATCATGCAACTCATCAAACTCCAGAATCTGTCTGGAATCCATCCAATTCGCATTACAAAGTAACAATACTTCTACTTCATGTAATCATTCAAAGTTTGACAACACAAAGTCTACCAACAGTTTAAGCATACCAAATACATCCAAGAAAATATAATGGTGAAGCCCAAACTATTTCTTTATATGCATTTATTATTTTATTTAGATACATAGGTTAAATAATAAACATATACCAAATGTGCATCATAAATTCTCAGAAAATTACAGTGGCTTACCAGTGCTACCAATAGGCTACTATAAAAGTTTCATGCCATTTTACCAAGTAAAACATCCTATACAAAAATGACAAGGCAACAAGGCTTGAAATAGCATAAATAGAAAACCCTAGTGAAATGTGTCAAGCAACAGATTTTATATTTTTCTTAGCATACATATGGTATTAGGATATCCTCCAACAAATTTCATGAATATGGGATTCATAAATAATTTATAAAAATTCATACAAGGATCTCCTAATTATAAAAGGAAAATCTATAACTACAAATCTATACATGCACTGATCCTCAAATTTTTACCAGAGCTCATACATGACAATAATAGCTTACGACAAAAATTTCATAATTTTTGGAGCACAGGAGCTCTAAATATAAAATAAACAAATTTGCATGCATTCAAAAACACATTTCAAATCTCCATTTAAATCTTCCAAAATTTCTACTGTAAGTGCAAGGATCATATTTTTCTTAAATACTACACTTCCTAAGGAACACTACCAAATTTATTTCACAATTTTTGAAGCTACCAAACTGGAGATCTAAAAATTACAAAACACACTCAAATCTGGAATATTTGAACTAGCCCTCAACACTGCTGTCGCTGACCGGTGGGACCCACTGGTCAGAGGACCCCACGCGTCATTGACCCAAAATAGGGCAGCTACGCTGCGCGGCGGTTGCACGGCCAAGGCTCAACGGCGGCGAGTTCGCCGACGATGAGGTCTTCACGGCATGACCCCCACGACTTCCCGCACCTACTGGTACAACAAAAAGGATCGATCATCGAAGCTAGGTACTACGGCGGCGGCTATGGCGGCGCAGAGGTGCGGGTCGACGGCGTTACGCCGGTGGAAGCCACGGCGAAGCAAGCTCAAACGCTGACGAGGTTCTACGGACTCAGGCGACACTAGCGCACAAGACATCACAACAAATGGTGGACTGTGGCGGCGTGGCCACGACGACAGAGTACGGCGGCGGAGCTCCGGCAAGCTGGTGCGTGGTGCTGGAGCTTACCGAGCTCAATCAGTGGGCACGGGTGAATGCGGTGTGTTGATGGGGTGATGGTGGATCTACTGTGGTGACGGAGGAGCGGCGAGCTGTCGCCGGTGATGGCGATGGCAGGGTGGCGGCGGTCCGCTGCGAGCGAGGAAGGAGGTAGAGGCGAGGGAAATTGCATGAGCTGTTGAGTGCGGGCGGTAGCTGGGGTGTTAACGCGCGCGCTGGCCTGCCTTGGCCACACGCGGCGGGGCTCCGGCGACGCGCGACGTCCTCTAGCTTCCACGCGGTGCGCGAACTCTGCTTGGTGTCGGCCACTGAACCTCGTCGCCGTTCATTCAGTTAAGCAGCAACGGTGCCTGACATCGGGTTTTTCATTTGAATTATCTCCCGATACAAAGCCGTTCAGTGAATGATTCCAAAACAAAAGTTGTAGTCCTAAGTACCATCTACAATTCTTGTTCAGTGAACTCGTGCTAATTCGCAACCAAAACGGAGTTAAATCATGACCAAGGTCGGCCTGTCAGTCGGTCAGTTAACAAGGACTCAGCAAATTTTGTTAAGTGTTGACATGTTGATTTTTCTGATTCTTGTGATCTAATTTCAAACATGTTAGGAGCTGAATCATTCAATGACCCAAAAATAAAAGTTGTTCCTTATATCAAATACTACAACTTTGCTTTAGTGACCACCTCCATGCAAGGTCCCTAACACCTAGTTCAAACTTGGTCAAACATGTCACATTTAAATGTTGATACACTTCAAACTATGGTTTAATGACCTATTTACCCCTAACCATGAATATCAAAGGTGTTCATAATGATACTCTAAGCATGTTTAGGCAAATTGCAAGGTCATACAATCATTTCATGTATTAGTCACTCATAGAGCTATTTAGTGTAATCACATGAAACATGACTTAAGGGCTTGATCATGGAAAGTGACATTCATGAACCATGTTCCATTTGCTAACCTAAGTGTTGCTAACATGTTTTTTTGACTCATATCAACCAATCACATGTATACACTCATAATCATATGCATATTCATATGAAAGCATGAAATACTAAGAAATGTTGCACATGTTTCAATTGAATGTTTCAAGTGTAAATGCATATATATGAATGCTTGATGATCATGCTCATGCTATGCAAGTCAAGTTATGCAAGGCTAACACCTAGGGTGTTACATCTTCGATCCCCGGCGATGGAGCTTCGTGTTGTCGGCGGACCGACCAAGGGACACCGCAGCCTTGAAGAGGATCGGGCAGGGGGCAGTTGTGGATCGGCCAGAGGGCGCGATGGGGCGGCGGTTGGAGCGGAGCTACCCTCCATTTCTTTGAGCCCGGCGATGGAACTTCGCGTCATCGGCGGATCAGCCGGGGGACACCGCGACCTTGGAGCGGACCGGGCAGGGGGCAGCTGGGGACCGGCCAGGGAGGCGCTATGGGGTGGCGGCCGGCCTCGGGGCACCGCCAACGGGTCGCATTACGGACTCTAGGCCGGAGGTGTTGGCGAGGCCAGCGGCCAGCGGAGGAACCCCACTGTTGCGGCATTGCAGAGCGCGGGCGCGGTGGAGCACGATTGTGGCGCTGCGGTGGAGAGCCTTATGGAGAATGGAGATAGCAGGATATGGTTAGAGGCAAGCGAGCAAGAAATATATAACTGTTGGGCCGTTAGGCTAGTGCTGCGGTTCACAAACACAACGGTTCAGACGATCGGACGCCCTAACCAGAGCATTATCGTAATTTGGCTGTCATCGCACCGTTATGGCCTGTCGATATGGAAGCCTTGGCTTTGTTCATGACATGCAAGAGCCCAAATAAAATTTTTAGAGCTCGTGAAAAATATCTCGAGAAGCTTTCCAGAATTTGATTTGGTTCTATGGAAAAGGAAAATATATACAGAAAAGCCTGAAGATTCTCAAAACTTTGTAATTGATGTGTACAAATACATTTTAAAAAGTTCTACAACAAAATTGTGAGATGAAGAAGCTTGAAGTTCACGGGTGAAGGCCTTGAAAATCACTTTTTTAGGAAAAAAAGGCCTCGAAAATCACTTTTTTTACGGTCGCCATGGCCTCGCCTCTGTGACATCACACAATGGGCCGCTTGTCCGCCCAAGTAGTAGGTACGTATGGCCCGTGTATCCACCGTGCCCGTCCCCAACACATCGGCTTCGAGCGGCGGCTTCACGCATCACGCGCGGACGCAGCTCCTACGACTACGGCGACGCGCTACGCCGGCGGCGGCGGGCGAGTGGGGAGCGGCCGAGCGAGAGGGGGCTCCAGGCATCCAGGCGAGCAGGTGACTTTTTTTTCTGTGAAACTGAGTCTGTGATTGGTGATTGGATGATTGAATGTTTGATTGTCTGATTGTATGAACTCATGATAGATTTCAATTTTCAGTGGGGTCATAGTGGGGTTACGTTGCTCTAACGCTATTGTTCAGCCCCTCCTAAAATTTTTCCTGGCTCCGTCACTGGCAGTGTATATCCCTGCTAATCCGCTGTTCTTTAGTCTAATTTGCGGTAGATTAGATTAAAGGAATTCGCAACATAGCTCAGGGCCATGGCTGTAAGCCATCACTTCTAGATTAATCTCAGATGTACCAGTACCAACCCTGCTTTTGTGATCTTTTCAGAGAAAACTCCAATTTTTCGCCTGCTGAGTGTTGACCTTGGGAGAGGCGGACGTACAATGGGCAGCGGCACGGCGGAGAAGTTCAGGTTCTGCATTGACAGGGGCGGCACCTTCACTGACATCTATGCCGAGGTACCCGGGAGAAGAGAAGGCTATGTCACGAAGCTTCTCTCCGTCGACCCGTCAAACTACGACGACGCGCCCATCGAAGGGATTAGGAGGATCCTGGAGGAGTTCTCCGGAGAGAGGATCCCCCGGTCGGCCAAGATCCCCACCAGCAAGATCGAGTGGATCAGGATGGGCACCACGGTCGCCACGAACGCCCTCCTGGAGAGGAAGGGCGAAAGGATTGCGCTTTGTGTGACAAGGGGGTTTAGGGATTTGCTCCAGATTGGCAACCAGGCTCGCCCGAACATATTCGACCTCAAGGTGTCAAAGCCGTCGAATCTTTATGAAGAGGTGATTGAGGTCGATGAACGAGTTGAGCTCGTTCGGGATGGTGACAGTGACAGGGATGAGTCATCTGTTGAAGGGATCTCTGGGGAACTGGTGAGGGTGGCAAAGCCTGTTGATGTCGGAAGCATTGAAGCCTCTGCTGAAAGGTTTGCTTGACAAGGGGATCAGATGCTTGGCGGTGGTGTTGATGCATTCGTATACTTATCCTCACCATGAACTCCTGGTTGAGAAGTTAGCTCTGGGGATGGGATTCAAGCATGTATCATTGTCTTCATCGCTGACACCAATGGTCCGTGCAGTGCCTCGGGGCCTGACGGCAAGTGTGGACGCGTATCTCACACCAGTCATCAAAGAGTACCTATCAGGATTCATGTCGAGATTTGAAGGGGGTTCTGAACAAGTGAATGTGCTATTTATGCAATCAGATGGAGGACTTGCACCGGAGAGGAGATTCTCTGGGCATAAAGCGGTATTATCAGGACCTGCAGGTGGTGTGGTTGGCTACTCGCAGACCTTGTTTGGACTTGAGACATCAAAGCCACTGATTGGGTTTGACATGGGAGGTACATCCACGGATGTGAGCCGCTATGATGGAAGCTATGAACAAGTTCTGGAGACACAGATTGCTGGGGCAATTATTCAAGCTCCCCAGCTTGACATAAACACTGTGGCTGCTGGTGGTGGATCAAAGCTTAAGTTTCAATTTGGTGCTTTCAAGGTTGGACCAGAATCTGTTGGGGCACACCCTGGTCCAGTCTGTTACCGAAAAGGTGGTGAGCTAGCAATTACCGATGCCAATTTGATCCTAGGAACTGTTATTCCTGAGTACTTCCCATCAATATTTGGTCCAAATGAAGATATGCCCCTTGATTATGAGGCTACAAGAAAGGCCTTTGAAAATCTTGCAGTTGAGATCAACTCTCACCGAAAGAGTCAGGACCCATCAGCAAAGGACATGGCAATTGAAGAGATTGCACTTGGGTTTGTCAATGTCGCAAATGAGACAATGTGCCGGCCTATACGCCAGCTAACCGAAATGAAGGGGCATGATACAAAGAACCATGCCCTCGCATGCTTTGGTGGTGCTGGTCCACAACATGCATGCGCTATGGCAAGGTCCTTGGGTATGTCTGAGGTACTTGTTCACCGATATTGTGGAATATTGAGTGCATATGGGATGGGTCTTGCTGATGTCATTGAAGACTTGCAAGAACCATACTCTGCTGTTTATAATACCGAGTCATCTGCAGAAGCATCTAGAAGAGAAGTCCTTTTAGTAAAACAGGTGAAAGAAAAGCTGATGGAGCAGGGTTTTGGAGAGGAGAGCATCAGGACAGATTCATACTTGAATTTGAGGTATGAGGGAACTGATACGGCCATCATGGTTAAACAACCAGAGCAAGGATCTGGAAATGACTATGCTGATGAGTTTGAAAAATTATTTCAGCAAGAGTATGGCTTCAAATTGCAAAACAGGAAAATACTCATATGTGATGTGAGAGTTCAGGGTGTCGGTAGTACAAACATCCTGCAGCCTCGTGAATTGATGCAGATATCAACCAAACCTGTGAAAGAAAGTTCATGCCAGATTTATTTTTCAAGTGGGTGGCAAGATACTCCGCTGTACAAGCTTGAGAATTTGGGTTATGGCCATGTCTTGGAGGGTCCTGCAGTTATTATGAATGGGAATAGTACTGTGATCATAGAAAAAGACTGTAAAGCCATCATTACAAAGTATGGTAACATAAAAATAGAGATTAATGCTGCTCCAAGCACTGTATCAATATCAGAGAAAGTTGCAGATGTGGTCCAACTTTCTATTTTCAATCACCGATTCATGGGTATCGCTGAACAGATGGGTCGGACACTTCAAAGAACTTCAATTTCCACTAACATAAAGGAAAGGCTAGACTTCTCTTGTGCTCTCTTTGGTCCAGATGGTGGCCTTGTTGCAAATGCACCTCATGTCCCTGTGCATTTAGGAGCCATGTCTAGTACTGTGTGTTGGCAGCTTAATTTTTGGGGTGATAACCTCCATGAGGGTGATGTTCTTGTAACAAACCATCCATGTTCTGGGGGGAGCCATCTTCCAGACATAACAGTTGTCACGCCAGTTTTTTATCATGGTAAGCTTGTTTTTTTTGTTGCTAGTCGAGGTCACCATGCTGAGATTGGTGGCATCACGCCAGGAAGCATGCCTCCTTTCTCAAAATGTATCTGGGAGGAAGGTGCTGCCATCAGAGCATTTAAACTTGTCGAAAGGGGTGTTTTCCAAGAGGAAGGAATAGTCCAGTTGCTGCAGTCACCTTGCTCTGATGAACTTTCTGGCTATAAGATCCCAGGAACACGTCGGATCCAAGATAATCTTTCCGATCTCCATGCTCAGGTTGCAGCAAACCAGAGAGGTATATCACTTATCAAAGAACTGATAAATCAGTATGGCTTGGTCACTGTTCAATCATACATGAACCATGTTCAAAAGAATGCTGAGGTAGCTGTTAGAGAGATGCTCAAAACAGTTGCGTCTAGAGTTGCAAAGGAGAATGGATCATGTGTTGTTGAGGATGAAGATTATATGGATGATGGCTCTGTCCTTCACTTGAAACTCACCCTTGATGCTATTAAAGGTGAAGCTACAATTGACTTTGAGGGTACCAGTCCTGAGGTCTATGGCAACTGGAATGCTCCTGAAGCAGTTACAACAGCTGCTGTCATATACTGCCTACGGTGCTTGGTGGATGTCGATATACCGCTAAATCAGGGCTGCCTAGCACCTGTGAAGATCCTCATTCCTAAAGGCTCTTTCCTCTCACCAAGTGACAAGGCTGCTGTTGTTGGTGGCAATGTGCTAACATCTCAGAGAGTGACTGATGTTATCCTAATGGCATTTCAAGCCTGTGCCTGCTCTCAGGGCTGCATGAACAATTTGACCTTTGGGGACGACACCTTTGGTTACTACGAGACCATTGGAGGTGGATGTGGAGCTGGGCCAACCTGGGACGGCACTAGTGGTGTTCAATGTCACATGACAAACACAAGGATGACTGACCCTGAGATCTTTGAGCAGCGGTACCCTGTTCTTTTGCACACATTTAGCATCAGGGAGAACAGTGGAGGTTCTGGTTTACACAGAGGTGGTGATGGCCTTGTGAGGGAGATTGAATTCCGGCGGTCTATTGTTGTGAGCATTCTATCCGAGAGACGGGTGCATGCTCCCAGGGGACTAAAAGGAGGACGAGATGGAGCTCGTGGTGCAAACTATTTAGTCAGAAAAGATGGTAGAAAGATTTACCTTGGAGGAAAGAACACTGTAACGGTTAGTGCTGGTGACATTCTTCAGATTTTCACGCCCGGTGGTGGTGGCTTTGGCTCTCCTTGATGACACTTCTTGCAGATGCTGATCTTCCTCCATTTGTTTCCTACCTTTGTACACCAGTAGCTCTATTTAGAAATAAAACATAATAAGACCGACACAAACACAGCTTGTTGGAGATTCCAGATGCTATTATTGCTCCCTGAGGCATTGGATCTGAATAAAGCATGATGGTGCTATTGTTCACCAGATACCTTTTATGTGAAACCTATAATGCCAAAATTGATGATGAATGATGCTTGCACTTTCTTCTTATTTTGATATTAGTCGGAAATTGCCATGCTAATTTTCCTATCGTTTATGTTAAACATGCCCTCGTATGCCTGCATACCTCAGCTTGTGAATTGTGAATGTTGCTTCATTGATGTTGGTCTTCATAGATTATTTATTGTTAAACCAGTAATTTCCAAACATATACTGCTCCCGTGCACGCATACCCCAGCTTGTGATTGTTTCTTCCTAGTCTGCTTCAAAACCCAGTTTGCTTCCTGTAGCTGCTTTGGATGCCTTAAATGCTACTCTCTCCATTCCAAATTGTGGCCCTGTTAAAATCATAAGTCATTCTGATTTTTTTTTGAAAAAACAAGGAAAAGTACGGATTATAAGTTTTAACAGAGCTTTTAAGTCATTCTAACTATATATTTTGTATGCACCTAAATATATTTATGTCTAATAAAATCTATGTATCTAGAAAAGGAGAACGACCTACCATTTAGAATGGAGGGAGTACCGTTTGTTACAGGGCTAGTACTATTTGAACCATTTTCTTGCTTTGGCCAGCACATTTGGCAAAGTTTGGCACAAATATGAGTTTCTTGCAAGTGAGAAAGGGGCAAAGAAAGTATGTTTTGTCATAGTTGTGTGGTTGAACCAATGACCAAGAATCCGTGGTTCAGATTAGGATGTGGTGTGGCAAGCTTAGTGGTCAGCAACCATATTTTGTTATGACGATACTGATAATATATCAGGTTTAGGTCTAAATACTTTGATCATATTAGCAGCTTGTGATATTGGAAACACATAATGACTGCATTGTCAACAATACTGGTGCGGACGGTAAAGGAGGGTGCCTATGGTGTATGGCCAGGGCTTCTAGAGGGTTGGGGTTTGTTTGGAACGCGGGAAAAATTCCCTGTTCCTGTGTTTTTCTTGTGAAATTGAACTGATTCCTGTGAAATTCCTGCGTTCCAAACAAGCCCTTGGTGTTTTTGCGCATTTGGCGTGTCCTTTTGTTCATTTTGTTCAAGTGTGGCGCCCATGTATATATATATTTTTTAGAATGTTTGGGTCTTGTGTGTTGTGTGCATGGCATTATTCATTCAGTACTGTCTTCTTAATAAAACGATACATAGCTCTGCTGCAAACATGCAGTATAAACTTATTGTTAGCTTAATTCATATTTCCTTTAGGCAATCATTGCTCGCTTTTAACGCAGATGAAACCTCAGGGTTGAGCTGATATAGTAACACCGTCAATAATTACCCAAATTAATAGGAAACATACATTTTGGAGCACCGAACTCTGTTTTCGACCACTGACCGCTGCATATCTGTGGAGGCAATGGCACAATTATGGTCATCTTTATTATGGCTCTACATGTAATCCAACACATGCTCTGCAAGAAAGCTCAGCTCAGATTGCCTCATTTGTGAATCTAGAGTTGAGCTGAATAGGTTCATTGAGCAGATAAATGATGCACATTTTTCTCCAAAAGCGTTTTCCAACTCTTCTTGCATATTAGACTCGGAAGCTGCGCCACAGTTTTCTTTTGCATTTCCAGAGTAAAGAAGCCGAAACTCTGAACATTTTAATCTGAACAGAAAGAGACATTATTTTATTGTGATAAAGCTATTAGTCATAATGGAACATTGGAACGTGTTATGGGGTATCAACAGACCTTACATGGTCGTCCCTATTTGCATCTTTTACAATAGCAGCAATCTTATTTAGCCCATCTTGTTCTTTGAAATCCTACAAAGATGTCAACGGGAGATCAGAGGAAATACAGACACAAAAGGATGAGCAGACAAACTGTAGAAAGAAGATTAAAAGTGTTCCACTTCCATGTTGGACGAGCAGATCTTACCGTCAGATTTTCTGAACAATCCACCAGCAACGCTAAAAGGGTGTCCAGACACGCTCTTTGCTCAAGGATATCCCGTGTTATCAGTATATTCAGAACTACCTGGCCATAGTAAGCGTAGTTTATGCAATGCTCAGGTAGAAACAGCATTAAATCCAGCAGCAACACACGCAGCAACATGCTCAAGGAATCCAAAGCCAGTTCTAGCATAGTGTCTCCTGTGTTATGACAAGAACATGACTTCTCTGCATACTGGCGCATGAACTAATCCCCACCCAATGTCTCGAACTATTTTGGTATAAATTTCGCCTCTCGTGCAAGGAACCATAATTCAGTAAACTTGAACTGAACGTCTTCTGGCTGAAGTACTTTGCTAGGAGCCCAGGACTACAGGATCCTTGTGGCCCAGCACTTGAAACCGTACGAAACATTCACCTAAAACCTGAGCAAAATCAGATGCAGGAGCAGGACATGGTCCTGATGTGTTGGACGGGCCACTACGGAGAACTTGTCCCACTGTCCAGCCACCCCCAACTTCCTAAGCGAAGCTCCAGTGGCAGCGCCTCATGTACTGCGTCTGTGCAGGTTCCTCTCTAATAGTGTGTGTGGTGACAACTGAAAAGAACTACCCAACTAACAGCAGTAAAGGCTAGGCAGGACAGACCAGATGAACGAACGTCGGGCATTGCATTGCATTGCATTGTTTATGAACGAACAACTGAAAGGACGCCAGGCGTGTTTGATAAGGTGGCCCAGCGGCCCGGCTGCGTTCCTGGGCTGCAACTCCCTTGTTTGGTGTACCTGGCCCAGTCTTGGTGTCTGCTCCGCACGGAATCTAAAGCAGTTTGGGCCAGGCCCCAGAGAAACGAAACCAGCGTATATGTGTTGCAGCTTGCAAGCATGTAGGAATTTTAGGCTGACTGTAAATAATGCAAATCATAACACAGCCACTGACCGTGCGCCATAAAGTTATATAGACTCCACAATGTAAATCTGAGTCTTGCACTTTTATCTGGAAAAGTTCATTATTATTTTTTTGTCTTACATGAGCATGGTGCTACTTCAGTGTCATACACTCAAGTGTTAGTTGCTTTATTCAAATTTGTGAATTCTGGAGTGAATGCTAATTATTACTGTTTATGTGGCAAATGTTTATAGATTTGAAGGGGTTGCCACTTATTCACAGCTATGACAGCATCCAAGAGTTGAACCGCAAAATAGAAAAACATGAGCGAGGCCACGATCTTGTAGTGTCAGTAAGTTATATTTACTGCTTTGTGGAACTACTTCAGATCAACAAGTCATTTTTATTCAGTTTGTTTTTGGTTGGAGATCTTAATGTTTCAACCTTTATTGAATATGCTGTCTTCCTTCAACCTACAGTCTTATGCACTTGGCGAGATTCCTTCTTTTGAGTGACCAAATCACAATAGTGCGCCAGCTTTGGGACCTGACAAGCGATGTTTTGGTAATAATCAAACCTCCACCTCTTTCTATATAGTTGCCCAATCTCATGCTTCACCTCAACATGACTACGTACAACGGAAGATAGACAGGTCCTTTCATTAGTATTGCTACCTCTTTGACACCAAATAAATTTATGTTATTTGCTCCATCCACAGTGTACAACACTATGGCCATCCAGCCCACCTTGGATTTTGTTTGGCATGAGGTCTTGCATGACTACGTTTTTAGAAAGTTTACTATGTGTAAATTAGTGGATGATACTATGTCCCTCTAAATGCAGCCTGGAATGACCCAATGTCATCGCTTATATGTAAATTATATCATTTGCCTGGATTTCCATCCCAGCATTTGGTTTGTACAGCATTACAAGATCGCAAATCTGTAATTATTATTTACACAACAATGGAGTTCGTGCTGAAACAAACGTAACTGTGAACAACATTATGTGAATTCAGCCTCATAGGATCAGTTAACAGGTGTCCATCTACACGAGTTCCATACGTTACATTGCGCAATAAAGGAATCAGTGAGAATTTTGAACTTCGAACATGCGATCAAATTCTGAACTTTGAAAGATAAAACAAGGAGTCCAGCTTATTAGCCGTGGTACATTGTTTTTCTCTCACAACGAAACAACATTAGTCAGCTTATCAGCTGCAAAAACCATTAGCCAAACAGCTCATCCACATAATTTGCAGAAGCGCGTTCAAAAGTTGCGCGTGTGGTACAGTGCTAGAAGAGGTATACATGGCAACATCAAATAATCGACACAGAGAAAAAAAAAATAGACCACATACTTTTGGCCGCGCTGATGTACGTGGTACAGACCCCCACGCCATCCATAAATACGTATACCATACCATGTTCACACACACAAAAAAAAAAGCCCAACCATATACATAGCTTTAGGTCCATTGCCGCAGCAAACGAACTACTGTTTTTAATACCGCAACACCCGAGCGCGGCAACCAACTGCACGCGCTGCGGAGCGCGCGTACCGTCCTAGTGTTTTTAATACCAGAACCTAACGCATTACCGGGGGCTAAAAGCAAAGCAGGGCAGAGGCACTATCACCAAGTGCTCTAAATCGGCCAGGATTCTCATTCACCATCACCAAGTGCGAGCAGAATGCAAAGTGCGTATGACTCCAGCTGTTTACTTTTGACATGGCCACTATCGGCAGTTCTTGTGTACTACACCAGCATAGCATGTAGTACGTGGAAACTCTAAGAAATGCCTAGGATCATGAATGAAGCAAAAAAAAAAAAGATGCAGCATGCATGGACATGCACCGAGAGTTGGAGCCGGAGGCAGGGGACAGCGGCCTAACATCTATCGCAAACAAAGGACTGCCACTGAATTCGTGTCTCCGGTGGCGGCCCGGTTCCGGCCCCGGCCGGCGGGATAGAAAAGCGATGTGCTGGGCCAGCCGCCCAGCGTCAGGAGCACCAGGACGAGTGGACGACGGCTGGGTGGGGCTAATGCAGGTGCAGCAGGCACGGGGCACATACAACAGCAGTGACGTGAGTGTCCTTGGTCCAGCATTTTTTTTTTGACAAAGGAACAGAATCCGGCTTTATACCCTTACAACTAAAGAAATCAGACAACTTGTTACAGATGTTTAACATAAGACAACACACGTCCAACTTAAAACTCGATTCTAATGTTATTTGGCTCTCCAAACGAAGCAAAGGAATTCATAGCCACCGTTTCTAGTGCCAAGACACTCCGCGAGTAGGCCTTAATTTGGTGAGACTTGCTAGCGCCTGGACGTCCGATCCGGGGTGCTAGCGTCGGATGGTGCTCTTGCGCCTGCGCCTGCGCCTGACGCACCCAGCTCTCTCGCCCGCACCCATCCCGCTCCAGAGGCCACGCGGGCCCACGCATGTGTGGGGACCACCCCGAGCCTGCTCCGTTTCACGCACACAAATGCACACACAGGTGGCGCGCGGTGACCTAAGGCGGTGCAATAGCAGTAGAACATGTGCTTCCCCGAGATCTACTTTTAAAACATTCAAATTAAACACTTGCAACATACGTCTGGAAACAGATGAAACACTTGAAACATACGCTTGAAACATGCGTGTATAGCCATAATAACATATGCAACACCAGATCTACTTTTGAAAATATCTGGATGCAACACTTGCAACATACAAAAAGAAGATAGATGAAACTGGAGTAGGTGACACCAGCCACTGTTCTCAAATCCTCATATGATGTTGCACCTCTCACATGATTCAGTAGAACTCTTAGGAAGTATCTCTCCCCTTCAGCAGGGTTTGCATAGACAATCCGTCCTGTCCTGACTTTTGTTTTCTTATTTACCACACTTTTTTCCCTTCGATCCAACGGTAGTGTTCTAGGAATTCTCTATATAATATTTTTCTTGCTGTCCTATCTTCGTGGTTTTTACTGAAATACTCGGTAAGTGTGGTCCAATTAGAACCTGGGCGATTGACAACATCCTCAAGGTTTTCCTCCTCATTGTATGTCACAGATTGCATATCAGGCAAATGTAGTTGGAGCTGCAATACAACAGGATAGACTCCAAACATTGGGAAACCGAATATCCTATGCACAGCTTCTGGTGGATATATGTATCTAGCATTCCTATACTGTCGTATCTCATTGATGACACCATCATCTCTATCATGTTGATCTTCATTTACCGAGAATGATGCTTGGTCATGGCCTTTATATACGTACTTAAATAGATACTTCACTGCTTTAATGCTCGAGCATGCTTCAACATTTATATGACAGTTGTATCTCATGAGCAGACCAGGGTTGTAGGGCACCACCCACCTGTTATCTAACTCTGCTCTCCTAATCTTTACTCGACGTCCATCATCCCTTCTCCTGTATGTTGGATATGAGTCATTTCCTTGTTGGGTTGCCTCACAGAGCCGTCGAGGATAGTGAAAGCGGCACTCTCCATCCACCATGCACGCGTAGTTTTTGTTTAGCACGCCACATGGTCCATGCAACATATGACTGATAACCAGATCATGCAACTCTGGGTATTTATCCTTGTCTGGCATCTCCACTGAAATTACTCGATCATATGCATCTGGGGTTGTCAACTTACTCCCTGACTTCATGATCAACAAGAAATGCTCATGTGGTAGCCCCCTTTTTTGGAACTCGATAACATGAACATATGCTGCAACATCACCAAAATACTTTCTCTTGATCAGAAGATCTTTTAGATCTCTCTACTTTGCCATATACACTCTTGCAACCAGTTCTAGCCTATCTTGTGGTTCCTGCCCAGGTTCGAGATTGTTTGTTATCTCTTCCCAGTAGGGATTGCATGTCATGGTGATGAAGTAATCAGGCCTTTCAAAACGTTGCACAATAGCCATAGCATTAAGGAACATTTGCTGCATATCTCGATCGCATCCTGGGAATGATCTTGGCAGCACGATTCTCTTGCCACCCTTAGAACCCCGGGTCTCTCCAGTACGTACGACATTAGAAAAAGATAGTAATAGGATTGCAAAGTTCATAAACAAATAAACAAAATAATTTGAGTGGTTACCTGATATAGCTCTGCCCGTATAAGCTTTTGGTTCTCGGGATTAGAGTACCAATCTAGCATCATGAACTCGATTTTTATATACATATCTACAGCCCATTGCTGGAAAAGACGTCCTCCAAATAATAAAATGTTAAAAAGTCCCCGTCTAACTTGCATCTTGAAGCAATAGTATTCTCGTGCAGTCACATATCTTGAAGATTGTGCTGCATCAGCAACTCTACTTAGCCAGTCACCTTCTTGTAGGTCATTGTCGCCTTCTTCTGCTTGATTTTCGTTATAATTATCAGCTGCAACATATATTAAAAATGTCAGATCTCTATTTTAATATATACTTATACCATAGTAGGAATATTATAGCAGAAATTATTCTACAATATAATTATTCCATAGGAGTATTATAGCACAAATAATATCTTGATAAGCACCAGTAGTGCCCTCATCCCTGTAATTAACATTAGTAGAAGCCGGGGTTACAGATGGTTGAGTGACTGGATCAGCACTGTATGGCATAAACTTGTTCTACCATGTTTCCCCTCGTGGGTTGTATAGAGGATAAACTAATGGGTCATAACAACCATGGTATGTTTAGATACATTGCGGACGACAATCCGTCCTTCCATATACAACCACACTCCTATCAAAACATCTCTGTGGATCGTTCCCCTCCATCCATATAGCAGCAACTTGGGCTACCGTTGGGGCATTGTACCTTCTCTGATCAGGCGTGACATTTGTATTGAGTTCAATCCGGTGGTCATCCAAGTTTGGAAAAGTACCATTTCTCCTAAAAGTATGAACATATGGGTTATCCTGCAAAATTATAAGGATATTTTGGATGAGGTTGATATCAAGATCGGGGGACCTTTTGACTCTATGTGACAAGGCCTCATCTTCTGTATCATAAAAGTAGAGCTGTAGATGCCGAGGGCCGTGGCCACCTGGCACCAGGTGATCTAGACGATGGTACAACCCACCATGAACTCGAAATGTATAAATATCGGTCCCTACTAGAGTGTTATATCTGCGGTCAAGGGTAACCCCTAGGCTTGCAAATGCGAAATGCGAGTTGAGATATAGTATATGTTGCCTGAAATATTTTGCATCATCATGCACTTGACTTGTAAACAACCTTTTTAGCTCTGCAGGAACCTCCGGTATATGTATTTTTATTTTTCCTTTTCTACAACAAAACCCGGGTGGCTCATATTGAAACCTCATGGCACCACAGTAATGGCAGTCAGGGACATTTCTCAACCTATGTCTTTGTGGTAGGTTCTGGTAGATGAATTCATATGGATCATCCGTCACACTATGTGCAGCCGCACCCTCTACAAGCATGCAATATGACTCATAATTAGGACCTGCAAGGGAAACATTATAGTAATCATATTAGTTGCGCTGGAAACATTATATGCGATGATGTAAATATTATATAAAGACGTATATAAGCTGGTTTTTTTTGACATGACGTATATATTATGAAGTCGTAGTACCTCTCGGATGTAGCTGAATTATTCCATCATCATGAGCATATAAGTTTTCGTTGTGCAATCCCTGGCGGCGTTCATGTCATCTTCTTCACCGTCTTCAACAATATTTGTAGGTTCGAATAATTCACGGTCAAATTCATCTTCATTGGTTTCACCTTGTACATGGTTGTGTCGTGGCCTAGGCAAATTATCATCTGCAAATTAAAATAACACCTTATTATATGCAAACTACAGTAGCTATCGAAATGTGTTACATTTCAGAGAAATTGTGTGGTTCCGTGCTGACCTGTCATTGCTCTATGCATCTTGTAGTCTCGATTCCGTTGTAGCAAGTCCTCCTTCTTTTGAGCATCCATATTGTTATATCTTTCCCTATTTCTTAGCAGCTTATCCCTACCGGATGAACCACCTGAAGGTCACAGTATAATTTATTTAATCTTTGTACTTTCCATTTTAAAATATTAAACAAACTTATAGTGAGGTTGGGAACAAAACTAATGTGTTGCACCTTGATATGCACTGGTTGAGGCTCCTTTTGTGCATATAGCTGGTACCGAACGAAATGTATCTGCGCTGCCACTCCGACGTTCGTAATTATCATTTCTATGTAGCCATTCTGTGGGCTCATCTAGATGGACATTTTCATCATTCTCTATGCTCGGTGCTTGCACAATGGCAGAGAAAGCAGTTCCAAATGGTGTGTGCTCAGTTAGGGTTGATGTCGCACCTTCACATGTGAACATAGTTTAGTCAGAGTGAATGATAGCTGAAGGTGTAAATATTAGCATCGCTGAGATTACGCACCTACTATGGTGACGATGTTAGCTCTGTTGGAGAAACAATACAGGAAGTGGTAATATTTTGGGTTGTAGCCTTTTTCCGTGTTCGGTACTCTTGTTGTTTCCTATTAATCTCTTCCCTTTGTTCAATGGACATCTCAGCTCGACGTTTTCGTTGCGCCGCGTTCCTTTCCTCCCTTTTACGCTTGGCATTGTCTAGAGTAGCCAACATACATATAGGAAATCAGCAACATATTGCCTGAAGTATTTGATTGCACTGTTGTATACATGTCAAAAATCTAAAGCATACCGTGACATGGTTGTTGGTGATATCGCCTAGCCTTGGCGTCGTGTATCTTTTAGGCGTGACATTGTCAAATACCTTTTTTGCAAATAACATTTTTATGAATTTTGATGGAAAACTTCAGTTTGATGAAGCATAATTTTAGCATAAAGTTACCTTGATGTTAATTGTTCTTCGGGCTATTCGGCAAAGCGTTGTGCTGCTGCCGGCGTAACGTGAGGCGTAGGGCGTCTTTGCGAGGGCTGCGGTGCCACGTGGTCCCGCCACCCCGAGTCACACCGTGACATGAATGTTAGGATGTGTTATCAGTATATTATTATTTTAATGTCAAAATAATATAGACAACTCGCATACCAAGATGCTAATTGTGTTGAATATCGAATAACAGAAGATCAAGGGTTTACAGAAGATAAAGAAATAAAACCATAAACCCTAAGGATAATGTTTACAATTTAGCAAGTAGATCAGACGCTTATAATTAGAAGAAAAGTGCTCACGTAGGCGTAGCAGATTAGCAGCCTGCTCTCTTGACCGTTGATGGCTCTCCAGCTGATGGTGGACGTTTTGGTACCTTTTAAGCGTCCGCACGTGATGAGATGGCCGACGCGGCTTCACCCAGGGATCAGATCGAGCACTGCGTCACACCAGCAATGTGCAGGCGGCCGAAGCCGCACGATAGAGGAAGACTCGGCCTTCTACTTAGCGTCCGCGCGCACCTGATGCCGTGGCGGCTTCACCCAGGGATCGAGCCCTTCGTCACCCCGTCAGCGTGCAGCGGCACGAAGCAGCATGACAAAGACTCGGCGACGGCTGCTTAGCTCCATCTTCTTTCTGAACCCATCCTGTGCTCTCTCAGAAGAACAACAATGGACAATTAAAACACATCCAACTCAAGCATTCAAACAATGATTAGAACACACTAGACGCGCGCGCGGTAATACAATTAAATACCTCTTTCAAAACTTGTAAGGATGCAAGCAAGTGACTAAAAACAATTCCACCATTAGAATAAAAATGTTGCTATATAACTGAAGGCAAACGACAAAATCTACTTAATTCTGAGTCTACAGAAAGGAGGAGAGGTAAGCAGAGCCAATGATGTGCGAGGTCCATGGGCGAAGTGGCCGGCTCCTATTGGTTGCTGTGACGTGGTTGGGAGCTGGTCATTGGGTGCCTTCGGTGCTGCCTCATCCCTTCCCATCCACGTGCACCAACTTTAGAGAGAGAGAAAGAGAGAACAAAGAGCGGGAGAAAGAAAGAGAGGGAGACGACAAGGAGAAAGTAAGTAGGGCGAGGCGGAAGTGCATGGCGCCAGCGTAGCAAGGCAAGGCGGCGGTCCCGGGCGCGGCAAGCCAGCCGGGGCAGTCTACGGTGGCGACGCTTGGCGTGCGAGAGGGTGAGAGCAGAGCGGGGAAGCAGAGCAGGGGCGGCAGCGGTGCTTGCTGCGGCACGACGGAGCAAGGCGAGGGCATGGCGGACAGCATCTTCCGTCCTTCCCTGTTGTCCGCGCGCAGCAGCAAGGGAGAAGAGGGTAGGACAGAGCTGGGGGAGAAAGGGAGAGCAGAGCAGAGATGCGGAGCCGAGGGAAAAGGGGGAAGTAGGGGAGCAGCGTGGTTCGACTCATCGGCGCAGGTGAAAGCTCTAGTTTGATTTTGGTTAATTGATGAAACCCTAAGTGCTAACCTAGTTTATCAAGATGATTATGAGATAGGTAGCACTACTCCAAGTGATGAAGCAATAACGAAGATCATGACAATGGTGATAGCATGGTGATGATCAAATGCTTGAACTTGGAAAAGAAGAAAGAGAAAAATAAAAGGCTCAAGGCAAAGGTATAAAATGTAGGAGCCATTTTGTTTTAGTGATCAAGACACTTAGTGAGTGTGATCACATTTAGGATAGATAGCCGTACTATTAAGAGGAGTGTAACTCGTATCGAAATGCGGTTATCAAAGTGCCACTAGATGCTCTAACTCATTGCATATGCATTTAGGATCTAGTGGAGTGCTAACACCCTTGAAAATATTTGTGAAAATATGCTAACACATGTGCACAAGGTGTTTGCAGGGTTGAGATGGGTTTGGGTCCCTAGGTTCAGCGCTTTTGGAAAAATGAAATGTCTATTTTCTATTGCGCCGGATGCAAAATTCTTGGTGGTTGGCACATTTGAGCAAGGGTGAAGAAGTTAGAGTTGAAATGGAGTTGGTCGAAATGATGCTGGCGTCGGTCTACTGACCGGACGCTGGGTCACTCAGCGACCGGACGCTGAAAGGCTACGTCCGGTCGAGCTGTCAGACAACACAGTGGGTAGGGTTGAGCACCGGACGCTGGTCTGCGTCCGGTCAAGATGGACCGGACGCGTTCGGTCGAAAAAACATGCCTCGGGGAGCTTACTGGAAACGACCGGACATTGGGGCTTCAGCGTCCGGTCAGTTTTGACTAGAGCGTCCGGTCAGCTTCATAGCCGTTGAAATCGATGAAACGGCGTTTGAAGTCGGTGACGCGTGGCGTCCATCGGGCGACCGGACGACGAGGGCAATGGTCCGGTCGGTATGACCGAGCGTCCGGTCGAGCGTGTTTTGCCCAAAGAAGGGGTACAACGGCTTCTATTTGATGGGGGCTCTATTTATAGCCCCATGGCCCCGCTCAAGGAAACTCTCTTGCACATTTTCATTGACATAGCAACCTTGTGAGCTTAGCCAAAGACCTCCCACTCATCTCCATCATTGATCCATCATCATTGTGAGATTGGGAGAGAATCCAAGTGCATTGCTTGAGTGATTGCATCTAGTGGCACTTGGTATTCGTGTTATTGCTTTGTGGATTTTGCTTGTTTCTCTTGGTGGTTGCCACCACCTAGACCAGTTGGAGCAGCGGTGAAGGATCGGCACGAGTTGGTGATTGTTTGTGGCCGCCTTCGGTGATTGTGAGGGGAGTTGTACCTTCCCCGGCGGAGTGCCGAAAGGTAACTCTAGTAAATTGCTCGTGTCATTGAGTTACCTCACTTGTGGGTCGGTTCTTGCGGTGTCCAATCGTGTGGACGAGGTTTGTGAAACACCTCTTAGCCGCCGAACCACCAAGTGTTGGTCGACACAACGGGGACGTAGCGTGTTGGCAAGCACGTGAACCTCGGGAGAAAATCGATTGTCTCTCTTCTTTGTCATTCTCCCGGTGATTGGCTATATATTCATCTTGTGATTGGTTCATCCCCTACACGTCGGTAAAATCACTCTACTCACTCATTTATATTCTTGCAAACTAGTTGATACAAGCTCTTTAGTGTAATTAGAATTGAGAGCTTGCTTTATTATTTACATTCATCTAGTTGAGCTCTTTAGAGTAGCAAGGTTGAGAGCTCTTAGTGAGTAATTACATAGCTAGTTTGTGTGCCTAAGTATTCATTGCAACTAGAATTATTGGATAGGTGGCTTGCAACCCTTGTAGAGCTAGAGTAAGTTTGCATTACGCTATTTGTCATACTAATCAAATTGCTCTAGTTGATCTGTAGTTTTTTAAATAGGCTATTCACCCCCCCCTCTAGCCATATTAGGACCTTTCAGCAGGGCGGTGGCGGCGCTTGATGGCTTCACGGCCGCGCGCGAGGCAGCCCAGCTCCTCCCGTCTATGGTGTAGGGCGGCTTGGCCCCTCCCGGCGATGCGGAGCAGCAGCAACAACGGGTGGCGGTGCAGATCCGCCCTCCTCCCCTCCCTCCATGGCTCCACCGGCGGGTGGCATCGCGGATCCGGTGAGATGGAGCCACCACGACACGGATCCGGCAGAGAGGTGTCCTCCGGCGGCGGATCTGGTGGGTTGGATCCCGGTGGCGGTGGATCCATGGATCTGACGATTAGGAGCCCTCCGACGGCAGGCTCTACAGCGAGCAATGCGGCGGCGGCAGGCTCCATGGCAAGCTGTCTCTCGGTCAATTGGCACTTAGCGATGGATTAGAGATCAGCAACGACAAGCATAGATTGCACACCAACTCACGGTGTTAGCTATGTCGGGATAGATGAGGCACCAAACCGCGTCTTGGACATCGACAATACCTGCCGCTCGGTAGGGCAGGTCGGGCGGTGTTTCCGGCAAGCTTGGAGGCGGTGGCGCATCCGGCGGCGTCGCGACCAGTGGCGTCGAGGGGCGTGGACGTGATCGTGATTGATCGGGATATCTTTTTTCCACGCGTGCGTGATTGTGGGTAGGGGCTGCGGGCTTGTGGCCTTGGGTGGAGGGGGAGATGCGGACGTGATCGTGATTGATGGGAATTTGTTTCCCGCTCGTGCGTGATTTCGGGGAGGGGTTGCAGCCTTGCGGGGGAGGGGAGCGGAGACGCGTGATGGCGACCCCATTTTGTTTCCACCTGATTGTGCGTTGAAGCCTGGAGGGTGGGGAGATCCAAATAACGTTCACCATCGGATCGAGTTGAAGCTTGTGAGGGAGGATTAGGAGCCATAGATTTTAATGATGTTAAAATCTTGGATGCAATTTCATTGGTGCACAATGATTGACTTCCTCAGCGGGGGATATATTATTTGGTGTACCTAAAATAGTTTAGATTGGTTCCTTATAGTAGAGATTTGGTTGTCATCGCACCATTATGGCCTGTCGATATGGAAGCCTTGGCTTTGTTCATGACATGCAAGAGCGCTGGAACGAATGCTGCATTGGCAAGGCTAGCCGTCGCGTGTGGTCGCTTTCGCCGCGCGCGGCGTGGTCAAGTCAAGAAAGGAAGGTTCACGGACGCACGCACGCCGAATCACCTTACCTACTAAGCGCGTGTTTAGTTTCAGGAAGTTGGAATTTGGGGATACTGTAGCACTTTCATTTTTATTTGGCAATTAGTGTTCAAACATGGACTAATTAGGCCCAAAACGTTTGTCTCGCAATTTCTCACTCTCATTTCATATCTGTCTATAATTCAAGTTATTGGAAAGAAATACAAATTTATTACTGCACAATAGCTGATATTATTACTTGCACAATAGCTGATGTTAGACAATACATAAAGTTATATTTCCCAATAGTAGCTCCTTTTTATTATATCTGAGATCATAGTAGCTCTTTCGCTAATGCATTGATCACCCCTATACTATTTTTTCAGGTCGGAGCGGCAGATTATATAGCAATAGCTAGGAACTATCATACAATTTTCATATCAGAAATTCCAGCTATGAGTATGAAGATCCGTGACAAGGTATTTGAGTATTTCTTCACGTGCTGGTTTTTCTGCTTCTTTTAGTCTGTTTGGGCGGAGGAAATAGGTGTAAGGGAACATGAATGTAGCAGTCAGGACTTCAAAGTCCTTGTTTGGTTAGCAGGCATGAAAATTCAGATGCTGCAGGGAAACTGGAGCCTATCAGCCTATATAAGTACAACAAATGAAACATGTTCTCAAGAAATAAAACACAAAGTAAAATGTGATTTTGAAGTGCTGAATAGCAAGGATCTCTAGAGGGATGTTGCAAACTAGCAAAGCAAGGCAGTAATATTTTGGATAGAAAGATGGAGAGGGCATGTTGATCAAGTTGGAGAGCTTTTAAAATATATTGCAAGTTAGGAAAGAGAAAAGGTCTATTTGTTTAAATTTTTAGGTAGCTATCTTAATTGATGGGCAGTAACCATTAGTTAGTTGTTACTCTCTACCTTTCTGAAATAGTTTGTTTCCCCTCTGTTGCTAATATCACGACTCATTTAGGCAAGAAGGTTTATCACTCTCATCGATGAGTTGTACAATCATCACTGCCGCCTTATATGCCTATCTGCCTCATCCATTGATGATCTTTTCCAAGGAACTGAGGAAGGACCCCTTTTTGATTTAGAGAGGTAACTCGATAACCCTTTCCTGATCATGTAACGCTGTTTTTTCAAACACTATGAACTGAAAATATGTCTCAGTGAGCTTTGTCATATATGCTGGTTCTGCTGTGGGTTGTGGAGAGAATGTTTCTATCTTTTCTTTTTCTTTTTCTTTTTAAAAGCAAAGGCAGAAGACCTGCTATCCATTAAAGATAGAGAAGAGTTTACAACAATTACAAAGGCCTCAAGCAAAATACCATGACAAAAGAGACTATTTGATTGTTAGGGGTTAATGTTTCTGGTCGTCTGCAATGGAATGCAGAAGACTGAATTTGAATCGCACAAGTTTCACATGAACGGTCATGCTATGCAGTTTTCAGTTTGAAACCGAGTCTGAAGGGACAAAGCTAAGGAGGGATGTTTTAGCGGAAGGCAATGTTGGCTTAGGACCGTCTACGACCGGCCTTGTGGCAATATTGTCTGGTCAAGAAGAGATGTTTGCGTTCTGCAGGGCGGTATGTTCCTTGCAAGCAATAGGCATTGTAAATGATTATATAGAAATGCTGCGATTTGACAGCCTGCAGTTCCTCAGCCTGCTCCGGCGGTTTGACAGCCTCGCTATACCATTGCTTTATTTCAAATTTCGTGTGAGAAGGCAATAAAACCAACCAGAGCAGTGAGACATTGTAAATGATTATATAGAAATGCTGCGATTATTAATAATTGAGTTAAAATTTGCCGTTGCCTAGGCCTGAGGCATTTGTTTCCGCTGAATGATGCATTTTCTCTTTCTTCTTCTTTTTGAGCAAGAATGATGCATTTTCTGTTCAAAGTAAGATGACAAGATCCAATCACGAAATCATTTAACAGTACACATTGTAAAATTATAGCTCTCAATTTTTGCGACTTTGTCCAAGTCTATAGAAGAATGGCCCCGCCTGAGTTTTTGTTTCCGCTGAATGATGCATTTTCATCTTCTTCTTCTTTATGCAAGAAGAAAATTTTCTGTTCAAGATAGATGACAAGATCCAATGAGGAAATCATTTAACAGTAGTACACCGTAAAATTATAGCTCTCAATTTTTAACTTTGTCCAAGTCCATAATATATCTTATACTGTAAAATTAATTTCATTAACATGTCATTGAAGAATTGTGTTTATTTAAACATGTAATGATATATCTTTCTAAAAATCTTTCTTTAAAATATTGGATTTATTTGTACTTGTAAATGTTAGCATATTTTTTCCTTCTAAAAGTCAAAACTAAAATAATGGACTAGTTTTTTTACATACACAGCTACAGCCCCGATGAGAAGACACGCTGGCAGTTCTGCTTGCTTTGTCGCACGCACCTGATTGGCCCAGCAGCCCCTCCCATGGATCGTCCCTCCGAAACCGCAACCACTCCCATCCAACCGTCCATTCCCCTGCCGATCGGACCGTCCATTGGCCTCGCACGCGGATCGACGGGCCCACCACACGGATTCCCTCTCTCTCCCTCGCGCGCGCGCGCGGTTTAAAAGCATCCCGCCTCGCTTCGCATTTGGCATCCACACACAGATTGCCTCTCAACTCTCAAGCTCTTTCTCGATCTCGAAGCGCAGCAGCAGCAACCGCCGGCGGCCATGGACGTGAGCGGAGCAGGAGCCGGCGGGAAGGCGAAGAAGGGTGCGGCGGGGCGCAAGGCCGGCGGGCCGAGGAAGAAGTCGGTGTCGCGGTCCGTCAAGGCCGGGCTGCAGTTCCCCGTCGGCCGCATCGGGCGGTACCTCAAGAAGGGCCGGTACGCGCAGCGCGTCGGCACGGGCGCCCCCGTCTACCTCGCCGCCGTCCTCGAGTACCTCGCCGCCGAGGTGCTGGAGCTGGCCGGCAACGCTGCCAGGGACAACAAGAAGACGCGCATCATCCCGCGCCACGTGCTCTTGGCCATCCGCAACGACGAGGAGCTCGGCAAGCTGCTGGCCGGCGTCACCATCGCCCACGGCGGCGTCCTCCCCAACATCCACTCTGTGCTCCTCCCCAAGAAGGTGGCCGAGAAGGCGGCCAAGGAGCCCAAGTCGCCCAAGAAGGCCGCCAAGTCCCCCAAGAAGGCCTAGAGTGCTCTCCTCTCTTAGAGGGAGGCTGCTCCGTTAGCCATTACCATTAGCACCGTCCTGCTAGATTAGATCATGTTTAGTGTACCTCTGTAACGTTCTTGTACTTGCTGCCAACCGAATGGTTTATCTAGTACTAGTACATCTGTGCATTTTCGTTGGTTGGAACAAGATTTCAGAGACCAGAGTTTGCAACTTGCAAAAACTGTTCAGTTTTGTTTCTTGCCCATGTTTGCAATTTGAGCGCATTAATCCACTTAACAGTATGGGATGGTAATCATCTAACTAATCCGTGTTGCATGTCAGCATCTTGTTTGTGTTCAGTAAGTAAACTATAAGCTTCCTTTTGAAGAAGCTGAAGATAAGGAGCATGATGGTGTATGGGTATATGATAAGGGGATTTTCTTGACAAGTTGGTTACATGGGTACGAGCAAAAGTTCCTCTAGAGCAATCTGACCCTCCAGGTTATTACTCCTGTATGAGCTCGACTATACTGGATTTTTTCTAACATCTATTTGTTGATTAAGGCCTTGTTTAGTTCCTCAAAACTTTACACTCTATCTTATCGAATGTTTGAACACATGCATGCAATATTAAATATAGACTAAAAAAATAATTAATTGTACAGATTGTAATTATTTTGCGAGACGAATCTTTTAAGCCTAATTAGCCCATGATTTGACAATGTGGTGCTATAGTAACACATGTGCTAATGACGGATTAATTAGGCTTAGCCCTTGTTTAGTTCAATCCCAAAATCCCAAAAAGTGCTATAGTACCTGTCACATCGAATGTTTGCGGTCTATGCATGGAACATTAAATGTAGATGAAAAAAAAACTAATTGCACAGTTTGGTGGGAAATTGCGAGACGAACGTTTTGAGCCTAATTAGTCCATGTTTGAACACTAATTGCCAAATAAAAACGAACGTGCTACAGTAGCCCTAAATTCCAAATTCACGTAACTAAACACGCTGTTAGTAAATTCGTCTCGCGGTTTACTGACGGATTCTGTAATTTGTTTTTTTTTATTAGTATCCTAACACCTCATGTAACATCCGAGCTGGCTAGGTACGATGAGCGGGTCGACGAAAGTCATGAAAATTGGTAAGTTGGTCAATGGAATCTAGTCGAAAGATCAAGAAAACAAAGCATAAGAAGGAGAGAAGATATCCTACATTACATATGTGATTTTGTTGAGTCATTTTTTTCATACTCTTTTATGTAGGAAGATCAAAAATGAGAATTGCTTTGAATGACCTAGCGTCCGTCGTCTTGTCCCGAAGAAGGCTTTTTCGGTGCGGAGAAAGGAAGGGGAAAGTAAAGTATTTCAGACTAGGTTTTGTAGAGTATTATTTTGTGCTGAATAAACAGATGACTTTGTTGTTAGTTTATCACCTTTGTCAAAGTCTCAGCAATTAAGTGGAGGGCTATGTTCAATAAAATAGGCCGGGGTCGATTTCTACATTGAATTTCATAGTGCTGGTTTGTTATGAAAAGAAAATACTTTAGAATAGCTGATAAGCTTTGGCTGAAACCAACAAGCGAACAAGCTGATGGATTGTATGTCTATGGAAATGTTGCAAGTGGTAAACTACCAGATCCTTGTACATGCAACATGCACAAAAGAAGCTTCTAGTCTGGTTAGTTGGATCCATTCTGATTTCTGCTTATTACTTTTACAGCTGTCCGAAAATGACAGGTAAAATGCTTCTATTGGTCCATTGTCCTACATTTTTTAATGAAAACTTACTCATTAGCTTAAGGCATTTTTATGAAAACTACCGGGAGCAAGTGACAGTGCTAATGTTTTACGTTTTCTGAATGACTATTCCATCACTTGTACTAATCTCAAGGCACAACCTGTACATCGGTAAGACAATGGGATGGGGCCAATGAAGGTGTTATCAAACACGACACAGGAGAAGGTTTCACTTTCATGAGGTAATCTGTTTAGAAATACCTATGACTGTTCAATCATCCAGTCTTAGTTGTGATCTTGCATAGCACTGGAGTACTCTTTGATGCAGGCCATGCTTTAAATAGACGATCATATGCATGACATATGGAAGAGACATCATGACGAAAATCTATTCGCTCAAGTGCTTTCAGTTGGATATCAAGCCTCCCTTTTGATGTGAAAATTAAGGAGTGGATGATTGGGGAGAGAAGTACCAACGAGATTACAAGAGGAAGAGAAAAAGCATATCCTTTTGGCTGTTGCTTACCAGTTTTTGGTTGACAGACAGGCAAATAAAACTGCAACAAGCATTCCATGCATGCTTTGACGAGATACAGATATTAATACATTGAAATGTCAAGGATCAAAGTCTTTTTGCTTTATTTTCATCCTGACCTGAAAAGGAGGATTGTCATTTATTTCATAGCAGTTAGCAGCTTGCTTATTGGATTACATCGAAAACTGAGGAAACAAAATATTAAGAATGGTGTTGGTCAATAACATTGGTTAGTTTCACCAACATGACCTAGCATAATATTAACTTCATTGTGTTAAGTTTTCATGATGTTAATGCTTTAGTGGAACTTTGTACACCTAATCTTGATATCATGCTGAATCCGAGGAGAATTGAAGTTAACTAAACTCTAATTTTATTTACAAAAGTAACTTAGCTCTATTTTATTTAAACTCTTGCATATATTTTGTACTAACTGCTTTTACCATAACTTACTAAGCTTGTGGAACTTGTCATTGTTAATTAATTATGCTATGCAACCTAGTGTCTTTTTATAGATCGAGCAAAGTTCATTTGTGCAAGTATGGATGTTTTTGCAGTTGTCGCCACTCTAAGCAGATTGTTAAGCACAGGGACAGTACTCGTAGCAACCAGTCATAAAGTACCTGAAGATATGAATCAGGCAGGCCCTTCTTCAAGTGTTCTTTTTTAGTGTTCCTTATGGATTAGATGCATTATCATTTTCTCGAAGCTTTAAAAGTTGAAATACCATATTACAGCATGTGACCTTTTTCATTCTTTGCTCTGCTGGTTCTTTAGGATGGGAATGGGATGCAATAGCACATTTTTTTTCTTCTCAAACACGCAGGAGAGCTGTGTTACAATAGGACATCTTCCCTGAGTTATTATCAAAATTGGATGGAAAATGCAATAAGATTCTTGTGGGTACTGAAAAGGATTTTCACTGCTTAATTCCAACAGAAGGGCAGACGGCTGAACTCAGGTTTAGTTTTTTTTTTTTTTTACTTTTCGAAATTTGGTTAGGAACATTAGCATTCAATTGAGGAGCTGTGCAGCTTGATGAATCCATGAATTGAATTCTGGTGGATGATGAATATATGACATTGGCTGGCATAATCCTGCTGCATTTTGATTCGCTTGTATAAAACTGCTGGCTATCCTGGTTCGTAAGAATATATATTGATCTCTAGCCTTGGGTGGTGATCACATAAGTTCAGATCCGTGTTATTAATCTACACACTGCAAACTTTATATGAAGTGATCTGTTTTGCATTTGTATAATTTGACATAAACTAGTTTGATAT